TGTAATTATCAGGGGGAGCTTAAGTTGAAATCAAGGAAAGTACAACACGCAACTTATATCTGTGATAATGGCATGAACCTTTGTAAGTAGTGGGGTAAACTCGATTGTGATGTTTTCACTGTGCAGAAGATTTGCTCGATTGTCTATACTGAGGATCTGCATGCATGGTTGTGTCGCCAAACCCCTAATTAGACCGACAAGTTTTCAAGACATTTACAGAATGAGAAACTGATAGAGAAACATATTGAAATAATCTATAGTGGATGAAGATGACCACGAGAAAACATTATCTGGTGATAAACAAAAGTCAATTCGTCTGCCGAGTATTCCAACCGTTTCATCACAGTTATCAGTCATCTTACGTGATTGTCAAGTCATGATAGGACATTATGACGATATTCAGAAGTGAATATCTACTTGGTGTTGATTAGGTGTTAGCTAGTTGGAAATGGGCACTGTTGTTTTATGTGATTCGAAAATATCAGAAGTTTTAGCTGCCCGATTACATTACAAATTGTGATCCAAAGGTATTCGTTCACTTAGTGTCAATTTTGACAGTAGTTTCCAGCTCTAGTTTTGAATGCTTGCTTGGCTATCAACTACGTGATAGTCTGTTCATTATGTCAATAAAGCACTATAGTGCGTTATTGTGGTGACCTGATTAACTGAACTATGTTACACGTCTTTTTATGAGACTAATATAATAGCAAGATTTATAAACCCAAATATGTCTAGCAATAACGACCACGGTAGGTTCACTGGAAAATCTCATTGGTGGTTCAAACAATTGTTAAATTCAAATTGTATGGAGATGATATAATGTAAAGCATGTAAAGAACAGGCTAAAATGTACGTTGGTGATGAATATAACAATTTAAACAAGTTTGTGTAGGGACATGACTTCTTGAACTACAGTTCAGAACATGATGAATTTAATGAAGAATTTTTATTAGTTGTTGCTGTTTTAAGCCTTGTAACATCCATAAATTTGTAACAATAATAGACGGAAGTTGGAGATTTGGAGTCAACTTTGAGTCTTAAATAATTCTATCCTGTTTCTGAACTAAACTGGATGGTCGGTATTAGTCTTTAGCTTTTTTTGTTTCGTTCTAGTTATTTTTGCATTCATGCCACCTCTACAATCCACAGAGAGTTAAGTCTGGCGAGGAGTTATACTGGATATAGTGCTGAGTAGCTTTTAAATTATTTATGCAAAATCATTGGGTATTGTTTTGATGGCTAGCCAGGTTTAAGTTCGCTTAATCATGGGCAAACGGTTTCCAGAATTATAAGCACTATACTTCTTTGTACTTTCCCTTCAGTAGAATACCTTCAGATTTGGTTTGTGATTTGAGTATGCGTGGACAACCCATCCTACGTTTCCAGACATGGTGGTACCTATCTGTGTTCTCCCATAAGTGAATTTAACTTTCTTGGTAACTTAATTCTTGTTCACTCACGTTACTTTCGATTTCACGGTAGAGCATTATCCATCACTTTGCCGATAACTTGAGCGTAATAACGTCATATCTTAATGCAATAATGAGTTATTTTTTCCCAATTATTTTCTATTTCATTTTTGCTACTAATTTGTCGATATATAGTTATTTATTTTTGTTCTGTGTTCATAAAAACGCCTATTAAAGTATTTGCGTATCTCACGTCTCCATTATTTCTATTGCATTATTTCCTTCCTTTCCTTCTTTGAAGTTAATTCAATATTCTTCTTAAATACCCCTTACCTGATTTATTATTATTATTCCATTGTCATTATTATTTCTCCTCCTTTTCAAATATGGCAAATATAATGCTAACATTATTATTATTATTATTATTATTATTATTATTATTATTATTATTATTGAAACCTGTGTATTATTGCATCTTTGACGAAACCCGAAGTGGTTTCTTCACAACACTTATGTACCCTTAAGATGTTTGTGAATAATAATATTGTTATTTCCTTGATTTTATACGGTACTTCACTGGCTTTCCGAATTCATTTCATTCAACCATTATTCTTTGGTGATTTCAATATTTGCTTCCTCGAGCCTGACTGTTTGAATTGATTGAATCGACTTATCGTTCTATGGTAGAATCACAGCTTCATATTATTCGTCGCTTTTTATCTGCTAACAAACAAGATCTCTCAAATTTCGCACTTATTGGCTCACGGCTTCGTTAATCTATAACTGGCTAATGCAGTTACAGCTCATGGATAGCGATTGTGTTTTTTTCAAGTAATTGTTCCGGGGTTCGTGGACATTTTATCCATCCCATGCATTCTCGATCCGGTTTTCCACCGCCCTACCATAAAGAAGACGCTGATTACTTCTAAATTAATATTGTTAGGAAACCGAACCTTTTTCAGTATAAAGATGGTATATTCTTGGCGGCGGATAACGCTCACAACAGTTTCTGCCTGCATACACAGACAAAGCGACGGCATATAGTCCCATTTTTTAAGAACTACAGTGTCACAGACGCCTTTAGACTTTGTGGTACTATGGTTTGGAGATATTTTACGTCGTCATAAAAAACGTTTGCTTGAAAAACTTCCCTTTGACTTTCATATTGTTCTTCAGTTGTCTCAAAATAGTAAGAGATGGAATTCAACGTTGCACTCGTCGACAGTTTCACTCGGTGACTGAAAATTTTAGGCGAAATGTCAATCATCGGTTGTGTAAGTTTATACCGGTCTAACGACTGATGGTATTGATCCGGTCCTTAGGGTCAATATTTTACCATACCCAATCCACTTGTGAAGCATTAATAATAACTATAATATCTGCAATGATCTGTTTTCCGACATTAAAAGGATTACTGATGGAAGAGACAGTGGTGGATAATTTCACCAGCAGTCTGGGCGGTCACAGGGTTCGTAATAATGAATTAACAACATCTGTTTTTTATTTCTGGTACTGTCACATAGTTCAGCATTGTCCAACCATGGTGTATTCATGAACTCCAAATGTGAGAATTCTGATATAACAAAAAGTATCATCTGTACCATTCTGTTGATTACTTTGATAGAGGTTCTATAAGTCCACAGAATTCAACCAACAGAAGAGTTTGATTGCTCTTTTTAATCTCTATGTCTTCGAACTTGTTATATCAGCAATAATATGAAGGGATACCAGAGGAATTCTTGACTTTGGGTTTATTTGCCGCACTTGACAGCATTTCTAACCATTTTGAATATTGAAGAAGCGTTTCACCTTAGCTGTATCTGAATGTGGTAAAGATTATTGGCTGATGTCCTTTCAACAAGTAACGTCCGTTGAAACGTACTATCCGCATCAATACATAATGTCTAAAGATCTATTTGTTCCATAAATGTTTTACTTATTGTAAGTACTTTGCTTCACATAGCCCGAATTATGTCAACTGAGAACATTAAAGTTACAATGGGAGGTTTTCTGACAACTTTCCTTTGTTATTAGCTAAACCATGATAAATAATGCAGACGATTGAAAACCTGCATAACCCATTCAGAAATTATTAATTACTTGATTAATAACTGAGTTACTTCATTCTGACCATGGCGCCAAAACCTTAATCAATTTTAACAGAATATTCTATGCCTTGAGAGCCTCGTAGATCATATTGGTTACTTATTTCGGAAGTCTATCTACGGTCTTTATATTGCCACATTGGTTGATAGAGACCTGCAAGATGAAAAACGTTTTGCATCTACTGATTTGTCGACTCGAATGTCTAAATGCCCTAAAAAGGCGTTAAGTCTAGGATAATCTACCTAATCATCTGGATGAAATATTTATTTATCGCAGTGGGGAGCAAATTGAGTGGACTGAACTTTGACAAACGCACATAGGATCTGTTCATCATTCAACTAATAAGAACGAAAAATATGGCCACTACATAAATAAGGAAGAACACAAACATGAGCTCATATTCTGATGTTCATATTTGAACGAGAATTTATCTCTGTTAACTACTCCACCTAATCACTGTGCATTAGCCGATAAAAAGCATATATTCATCTTTTTGATGATAGAAGATCTTTGGGGCTCATGAACGTGATGCACACTTTTCCACCTTGACAATTTAAAGTTTTGGTATTCGGCACTTGCTGACCTCGTTTTCCAGGTTTTTATAATTTACTGATTGTACTGAGTTATTGAGGCAATGAATTTTAGCTAGATTGTGAATAATTAGTAATAAATTGCCTATGAGCCTTTAAAGTATTCGTTGATAAAGAACCACTTAGCAAATAGCTTCTAGACGAACAATTTAGAGTTTTATGCTCAGTCGCTCGCATAGTAAATTGGATCGTTGTTTAGGAACTATTTGTGATGATTTTTGTGCTTTTCGCGACATGATAGAATTTGGAAATGACAACAGGTGAACATTGAATGAGTGGCGTAAAGATGTCATGATTTACTCGAGTAGGCCATGAGTTTGGTCCTATAGTTTAAAGTAGTTATGTTCCGCTCAATATCATTGAAATATAAACCAACTATCCTTCAGTTGAAACCTGTTAGCAAATTGCGCAACGTTATTGACCAGATGTTTATAAAACTAAGGGTTGATTTACTTGAGCGCCCTTGGCAACATACAATTTTAGTACGAAATTCATTTACGAGGAGCTTACATCGGCTAGGTGATGTGATTAAAACACTTTATTTTAATAGTTGTTTTGATGGTTTACCTGAGCTGCTATTCCTACCACGAGCTGGAATTAATAAAGTAAATCATACCTGTCTGGGCTATAGAAAAAAGCCCTCTAATTTGGCAGGCCTTTAATTAATTTACTTCAAATGGGATCTCTTGCACCCTAAATTGAATTCAGTGATATAGGACACCTGGATTAAATAGACTGAATACAAATATGTACGTCAAACGTTTGCTTGACGTTTATATTTATTTGTATTTTGTGTAGAATGTTGATAGCCTACTGAACTTTGACACTGTTGATGTCATCACAGAAATATTTTAAATCTACCCATAAAATAATTTTCGGTTCATTCAACTTTCAATGGTGACCTAATTTTTTCAAGGACGGGAGTCATTGAGGATTTTGATTTTGGCGGCTTCATAATGACGGAGGTTCTGCCGATTTCTTTGGTGAATTTCAATGCAGATAGTGGCTATTTAGAAGGTCTAGCACGTGGAATTAAGGGTGGACTTCTTAAGCAAGCTGATTACCACGTGCTAGTACAGTGTGAAACATTGGATGGTAGGGATTCGTCAATTCTGTTTTAGTTTAATTTCATTAATCAGACCTAAAGCTCCACCTGCATGACACTGACTATGGGGAATTTCTTGCCAATGAACCGGGACCTTTGACTGTGGGGATCATTGAAGAAAGAATTCGCGAAAAGTTTGTGTCTGAGTTCCGACACATACGCAACCAAGCTGTATACCCATTATCTTTATTCTTGGATTATATCACATACAGCTATATGATTGATAATATCGTGCTTCTGATAACAGGGACTCTCCATGGAAGACCGATATCCGAACTTATGACTAAATGCCACCCTCTTGGAACATTTCTGGAAATGGAAACCCTGAATATTGCAACTAACCCTGCTGAATTATACAATGCTGTACTCGTGGACACGCCTCTAGGTATCATTCTAATCATGGTTTTATTTCTGTAGCTCCATTCTTTATTGATTGCATTTCGGAGCAGGACTTAGATGAACTTAATATAGAGATAATACGTAACACTTTGTACAGGGTATGTTAATCTTTTCCCATAACCTAATTCTATAGGCGTATATTGAAGATTTTTATGCCTTCTGTAAGTCGCTGGGTGGAATTACTGCTGAGGTGATGTGTGAGTTGTTGGCATTTGAAGCTGACAGAAGGGCGTTTATCATAACAATCAATTCATTCGGGACAGAACTCTCAAACGAAGATAGGTCCAAACTTTATCCTCGCTGCGGTAAACTTAACCCTGAGGGGCTTGTTCAGCTTGCTAAGGCTAACGATTATGAACAAGTAAAATCCGTTGCAAGGTACTATTCGGTGAGTCCTTTTTAGCTCATTACTATTTACACTGCACAAATGAACTTTGTTTAGCAGTACATATTAATTAAAACTTGTATCGATTTTTCAGATGACCGCAGGTGGTACGGATAATATTCTTGATCTCAATAATGTATCTTTGCTATTTGGTTTTGGAGTTGTAAGGGCTGATCGATATTTGTCTAGATATTATCTCAAACTTCTGGTTAACTGAATATTTATCATGTCATTCAATCGCATTTTTATGTTCGTACATTAATCTTTACTTTCGTCTAACTAGATTTAATCGCAAATGGGTTATAGGAATCCCGTAGAAACAAAATTTATACCTCTTCACGCCTTTTATTTCCCTTTGTTTATCGTCGTCCAATGGCTAATATCATTTCTTGATATTTAAACATACTGTTTTCATTGTAGGTCTTACGTCCAAATTATGATTCAGTACTATCCCAGACAAGCTAAGAAATTCGTCATTTTCAATAATTGCTACTATCTACGACAATGCTGTGACTTATTTTTATCAATTTTATCACTACTCCGATGCTCTCCACCCACTCAGTAGAATCTTGCGGACACTTGTGATTTGGAATGTTGTTATACTCAGATACCTATCAGTGCGTTGTAACGTTTTTGATGTAGTTCTGAGTACATTAACTTAGCTCTTGCTAACATCGATCTATGTCAGTCTCCACCTTAACTTTTGACATGAGAATTAGTGCATAAAATATTTGATTACAGGCAGCTGGAGTGACACTAGGATTTGTTACAGTTAAGTACATCAGTGGAGTGTTTTGTATTAAGGGTTATACATGTCTTCAACTCACAGTAGACATTATTTCCATGCTCTTAAACTCTGTGAAAAAGTACTGTAGACGTCCAAAATAGATTACCGATTGAAGTCTAACTGATGTGGGCTTCTCTCCCTCTGATTAAGTACTATGACAATAAAAATCCCAAAGATGTAGCTATCAAGTTTTACAAATTCTCGGAAAACCAGTACCAAAATCAGCAAATTGTTTAGGTGGGTTGAAGTAAATGAATAATTTTTAATATAGAAAAGAGTTCATCGTTTGTGTGTGGGCTGTGATACTGCCCGGGTGCCCAAACCGAAGCAGGTGGTTGTCTTAGGGGGCCACACCCCGAGCCTTTGACCAAATGGTCTAACCCACAAGGCAGTGGAGCATCGTAAGGAGATGCAATCCCATGGTAGCCGGTGACCAACGATTGGTTCATACGCCATTTGTTCCCGCAGGATACTGGAGCCCATGTGCACCATTGGTTTGTGATCCGGTTAAAGCGCCGGACGTTCGCTTTTCGTCCTCTCATTTTTGTAAACAACACCCCCGCCGCGAGAAGGCAATGAGTAGGACTTCCCTGGCAGAGGCTGTATACGCGCGGCCGTGTGAGAGTATTTCGAGAGGGAGAGCGGACTCTCCCCACTCTCGGCCGTACCAGGGCGTTCGGGAGACTTGAATGCTCAGGTCGGGCGTCTAGGCACAGAAGAGAGTCGTTTAGGTGGCCGATGGGGACTCGTTGGTCGCAGGTCAGATAACGGGGACCGTCTACTGCAACTGTGCACAGACCACAACCTGTTTCTGGCTAGCACTAACTTTCGGCACAGTCATCGCCGATGTGCCACCTGGCGTCCTCCCTCTGCATCCCAAGCCTGGACTCAGATTGATCACATCGCGATCAGCTTCCGCTGGCGTGGTTGTGTAAAAGACTGCCGCTCCTTTTGGAGTACCTATCTGGACTCTGACCATGCCTTGGTCTGCGCCAATCTTGCCTTACTTTTCAGTGGACAACGAAGTGACCGCCACCAACGGATTGATGTTAGCAAGCTGGTTGCAACTTCTGTTGCAAATAAGTATCGAACCGAGTTAGCCTCTAGGCTAGCTACCACTCCACCGAAAAGTATAGATGAGCATTGGTTGCAATTGCTTGACGCCATGAAAATGGCGGGAACAGTCAGTTGTGGGTTTGCGAGACGTCCCGCTTTTAAGCACTGGGTTTCTTCTGGTTCCTTACAACTCATTGAAGCCCGTCGGTCTACTCCGGGTGACCGTGAGTTTGACCATAAACGAAGGATGTTACGTAGGGAAATTGGGCAAAGCTTGCCTAAGGACCGAGAAGCCTGGTGGTCGGAGCGTGCTAATGAGCTGGAAGCAGCAGCTGCATCTGGTAACTACCGGAAGCTCTTCCAGCTCATCCGAGCCACTGGCAGCAAGAAGTCTGGTGTGAGTGAAACAATCTGCGAGGATGATGGGATGCCAATCACTAACATCCATCGACGTCTTGGACGATGGGCAGAATTTTTCGAAGGGCAGTTCAACTGGCCTGCTGCTCCGGCAACATCGGTCAGGCTGTCCTGCCCTCCATGGCCGGTGACGACTGATCCACCAAACGAGGAGGAAGTCCGCAAGGAACTCCAACTCTTGAAGCGTTACAAATCACCTGGCCCAGATGACTTACCTCCGGCTCTTTTTAAAGATGGTGGTGACTTTTTGACTAAGGAATTGACGACGTTGTTTACAAAGGTTTGGGAACTAGAGTGTGTACCAACGTCATGGAATGAGTCGATAGTTGTCCCTATCTTTAAAAAGGGTTCACGTCGTTCCTGTAACAACTATCGGGGGATAAGTCTACTTCCGATTGCGTCCAAGCTATTGGCTTCTGTCATACTTCGTAGGTTGTTCAAAACTCGGGAAAGATTGACTCGCGAGGAGCAGGCTGGGTTTCGTTCTGGTCGAGGATGTATTGATCATATCTTCACCCTCCGCCAAATGTTAGAACATCGCCATACTTATTAAAGGCCAACAATCGTAGTGTTTCTTGACATCAGGGCTGCCTTCGATTCGTTGGACAGGACTGTTCTCTGGGATTGTCTATTGAAGAAGGGTGTGCCTGAGAAGTTTATTAACATCCTAAAAGCCCTATATAAAAACACCTCAGGCAGAGTGAGGGCATACAACCACCTCTCTCCATTGTTCCATTCGAGTAGTGGGGTTAGGCAGGGTTGCCCAATCTCACCATTCCTCTTCAACTTTGCCATCGATGACATTCTGGAAACAGCTCTGATGAATGTAAGTAATGGCGGTGTGGATCTGTTACCTGGAGAAAGACTTCTCGACCTTGAGTATACGGACGATATTGTCTTACTGTGCGATAATGCCCAAGGCATGCAATCCGCACTTAATCAGTTGGCAATCAGTGTCCGTAGGTATGGTATGTGTTTTGCACCTTCGAAGTGCAAAGTACTTCTACAAGACTGGCAGGATTCCAATCCTGTACTCACCCTGGATGGTGAGCAGATAGAAGTAGTCGAGAAGTTCGTGTATCTGGGTAGTTGCATAAGTGCTGGTGGGGGTGTGAGTGATGAGATCAATGCACGTATAGTGAAAGCCAGAGTGGCTTATGCCAATCTGGGCCATCTTTGGCGCCTTCGTGATGTTAGTCTGGCTGTAAAAGGTCGGATCTACAACGCGTCGGTGAGAGCAGTTTTGCTCTATGTTTGTGAAACCTGGTCTCTCCGAGTTGAGGACGTTAGACGACTCTCTGTGTTCGACCATCGCTGTCTCCGAAGGATTGCTGATATTCAGTGGCAACACCATGTCAGTAATGCAGAGGTTCGGCATCATGTGTTTGGGCACAGAGATGATAATTCAATTGGTGTCACCATCTTGAAACACCGACTTCGGTGGCTTGGACATGTTCTACGAATGTCGTCCCAGAGAATTCCACGTCGTGCATTATTTTCCGACTCTGGGACTGGTTGGAAAAAGCGGAGAGGTGGTCAGTGCATGACATGGTGTCGTGGTATGAAAGAAAGCTGCAAAGGACTGGCTTGTGTTGGTCCTTCACGACTCCCTGGTTGGGGTCTGAGAGATGGTGCTACACAGTGGCTAGAGACGTTATCAGATATGGCTCAGAATAGAAGCCAGTGGCGATCCTGCTGTAACCTTCTTTTACTTTCTTCATAAAAAGTGGTTGTGTCTCCCTTACTTGAAAGATTTCTTCTGATTGTACTTTTCCGTTCCATTGTTACGACCACACTAAATCTCTTCGTTATCGTTCTCTTTTGTGCTCCTTGGTTTTTTTTTCTCTTTTCTTTTTCTATCTCTTCGAAGTTACATTGTTTTGTGTGGCGCATATGTATTGGCGCTCTCTTGTACCAATATTTATGTGTTAAAATAAATAAATAAATAAATAAATAAATAAAATATAGAAAAGTAAAATTCATTAGAAGCTAACATTTCTGTATACTAATCGAATCCGTTGCATAAAAGATGGTGATGATACTGCTTAGTGGGCTAAATATCAGCAGATTGAAACTTAGATAATTCTGACTACTGATTAAAAGTTGAAGCCTAACATTAACAAACTAGAGCCTCATAGCCTTATGAGTTTTCTAACCTTAAAAATATTTATGAGTGATGCAGAGTGCTGAAGTTTTCAGTCAGTGAGCTACAACGTAGGACCAGGCACATCTATGCATCGGTCTAAGTTGTCACAGATTATTTATTTATTTAGACACAAATGTTGGTACATGGAGGCACTAAATAGATATGCGCCACATAAATCATTCGATTTGTGTGAGGGCTGGAATACTGCCCGGGTGCCAAAACCGAAACAGGTAGTTTACTTAGGGGGCTACATTCCGAGAATTGACCTAAAGATCTAATCCACAAGGTAGTAGAGCAACGTATGGAGGTGCCATCCCATAGTTGCTGGTGACCAACAATTGGTTCATACGATATTTGTTCCTTCAGGATACTGGACGAAGAGTGTAGAAAGCAAAGAGGTACAAAACAATTTTAATCTCACAGTTTAAGGGAAGACAAGGAGTGTATACACCAACACCATTGTGATCGATTCGGAGCAATGTCATCCAGTCTTCACCTATTAGTTACGATGGTCTCGCGGACCCCAATCAAGTAGTCTGCATCTATCAACATGGCTCAAACCAGAAATTAGTGGTTTTATGGACTATACCACGTTTTGGTTTGGCCACACCTAAATTTCTTCCATCCATCTCCAACTAGTCAGCATAGTGCGCCGTGGTATTCGGTGATTGGGCATACGTAATACGTTGCTCAACCACCTCAGTCGATAAATATCCACAACCTCACCAACTGGTTTGCCATCATTCCCTAATACCATGCATCTAACCTCACTATTACTTACCTGGTGATCCCAGCAGATGCGAGCAATATTTCCAAGACATTTGTGGTCAAATACTAGTAACTTGCGAATAGTCTCTAACCTTGATGGCCACGTTTCGCAGCCGAAAAGTAGAATCGAACGAAGTGCCGCACAGTATACTTGTCCTTTTATTGATAGACGCATATCTCGCATTCGCCATAGGTGACGTAAGTTGGTACAAACTAAACGAGCTATTTAAATTCGTGCAGAGATTTCGTCAGACGCCAACTCATTAGGACTGATCAGACTTCCAAGATAAGTGAAGTTGTCGACGCGTTTGAATACTTCACTCCCTATCCTTAGTTCAGGTGTTGACTCAAGTCGGTCCTAAAGTAACAACTTGTATTTAGAGGGGGAGAAAAGCATTCTAAACACCCTGACATTGTTGCTCAGTGCTATCAAAAGACTCTGAGTCATGTTGATAGGTATAGACTACCTGGTTGGGGACCGCGAGATGATAGCAACCGATGGTTAGAGACCCTGAATGACATGGCTCAAAATCGTTTGCAATGGCGCAGGTGCATCCACTCTTTGTGTTCTCCCAAATTCTAATCTTCTGAATTCTTCATGTCCCTTTTTTCCTCTTTCCAAATTTATTTCACTGAATTATACTCTTTAAATAACATCTCCAAACCCTAATCTTCCCGATCACTGCTTACACTCCTGCTACCTCTACCACTACGGGATTTGAATCGACAACTGCATCTCTGTGTTAAGGTGGTGTGGCAACTCGAACTGATGTACGTACGTACGAAGTTCTACGTTGTTACTGACTGACTCTGCATTTTATCTGAGTCTTCTTAGTCGATAAGGGGACCTCCTGGTAGATCAATTTTCGAAAATGCAGTCGACGAGAACGTTATTTCCAGCAGTTTGTCTATGATGAAATTGAACAAAAATGGTGATAGTGGACAGCCCTATTGGACACCACTTGAGATTACGAAATCCGATGACAGTTCTTCGTAAGCACTGACTCAGTTGGTAGTGTTCGAGTAAAGAACCCTCACAAGGTTTACGTACTTCTGAGGTACACCTTTCAATGACAGATACTGCTACAGAACCTCTCGGTCAATGGAGTCAAATGCTGCTTTTAAGTCAAGAAATACTGTCATTGGTGTTTCCACAGCTGTTCGTATGTATTTGCAAGCAACATCTGGGTCAACCATGTTTTCAAAATTACCTTTGCGTGATTCCACATAGAAACATTGGTACAAGGAGACACTAAATATGTAGGCAGCACGTAAGTTGTTCGAATCGTATGAGGGCTGGGATACTGCCCGTGTGTTCAAACCGAACCAGGTGTTTTTCCGAGGTGGCCCCACCCGGAGCCTTTGACCTGGAGGTCTAATCCTCAAGGCAGTGGAGCAGTGTCAGGAGATGCAGCCCTGTGGTAGCCGGTGATCAATAATAGGTTCATACGCCATTTGTTCTGTCAGGATATCGGAGCTCATGAGTATCGTTGGTTTGGAGTCAAGGTTTTCTAACTACCCTAGGTGGATCATCCGTATCCACCGTCCCGGTTCAAACGCCGGACATTCGCTTTTCGTCTTCTCGATTTCGTACACAACACCCCCGCTACGAAAAGGCAGTGAGTAGGACTTCCCTGGCAGTGTTTGTATGCACGTGGCCTCTTGAGAACATTTCGAGATGGAGAGCTGGCTATGTGTGACTTTATTTGTTCCGGGAATTTACCTTTGGCTTTCTCAACTCTAATTGGTCTTAATTAGGCTTTTCTGCGTCCATTAGGGCGCAAGCAAGTGCGTGCTCGTGTTAAAGCATTATCACATCCTATACATGTACTCCAGAACGAGCGGAAGTCTTCTATCTAGCCTCTAACGATCACTGGTGACAATATGGTTTGTTTGAGTCCATCGTTATTTTGGTGCAAGGAGTCGCCGCCATGTTAGACAGTGTCTCGCCTTATGCTTAAAATTAGTGCTTGGTAAAAATGAACGATTGTCTAAGCACAGATGCAGCAGACGGTCACCATTATCTGTTCGTTGAGCCTGAATACTAAAATGCCAATTTAAATGTCTCACTTGTATGGTTCAAGCTACTTGGGCATTAAAGTCACCTAACTCGAGTACTATGTCTGAGCGTTTAGGTTTTCGAAGAAGTTCAAAAACCTTTCTGTGAAAGTCATCTTTCACGTAATCCGGACTGCAGTCAGTGGAAGTGTAGATAGAAACGACGAAAAGACAACGACATGTGTCCCTATCCTTTCGAGTGCTATGCAGACATCCGCCAGTCCACGAGAACTAA